GGTTTTCATGAATGCTGAGCAACGTTTTGTATAGTTTTGAAGAGTTAGGAGTTAGGTAGAAGCAGAGGGAGTTATTCACCTATCTTCCCATGTGAGAGGATGTGTGAAAGATGTAGGGAATAGAGAGTTTTGATTATAAATGTATGCGGTTAACGAAAAAAGTTGCGGGGAAACGTATTGCACCGACTGATTCATTTCTTAGAGCTCTTGAAACCATCGATACAAAACTGACATCCATACATGTTCTTTTTTTCAAACTTTCCCCATTGATTGGATTCAGTGTGATTTCAGTAGATGGGTGCTTTTAAAGGCAAAGGTCGGGCTCAGGCACGCTAGAGAAGTAATTCCCGTGCCTGGAGGTTGTATGTGGGTAGCTGCACACATTGCAGCAACTTCCCACCTTGAAAAACCCCGTTAAGGCCCCGGGGCGTTCGGTTTCAATCCAGGGCCGCCTGGTCAATCCAGGACCGCCCACCTCCGGAAGTGGTGCGTGGCTGGCATAACGTGTGAAATCAGCTAGGTTGATTGCCGTATCAACCGATAGAACGACTGACATCTCCAGAAAACTTGTTTGTACGTGCCTCTTTCCCAAGCCAGCCTCCTTCACTGCTAGTGGGAAAGAGGGTTTTGTTAACGGCCTTGTCGACGGTTTTTCTCAGTTTTTTCTCCACTGTCGTTCCACTTCGCATCTCTATACTCAGTTTCAATCGCCATAATACCCCCTTATTGAGCCCGACTTTTGCCTTTAAAGCAATAAAGTGAAGTCGTTCACCATATAAAGTCATTCAGCCTGCGTTAGCTAAGATATAGAATGGAGTCGTGTTGCAGGCCCTCGTCGTCCTCCTTGTCCTACAGTGTTGCTTTACCAGCGACGATTTCGCGACGGGAAGTACGAGGTCTACTGCGGGATGAACTTCGCGGTAGCAGCGGCTTCGGTTATGTGCGACAGGATGACAGCTGGCCGATGTCCACTACGTCTTCACGGAATCCGTCCAGAACATTGCAAGTGGCGCTGACGACCATTCAACGCAACCGCAGCATATTTCATTCGGCTGAACAGCTGGCTGGGACCTCATGAATGTGGGACAAAACACTTTTCCTTCTCATGTTTCCCCGCTGAAAAGCGGGTAAAATTATGACTGTGATGATCGAGATGACGAATGAAGAAATTTGACAGTTTCTCGATGAACAGATGCAGCTATGTGAACAAGTTCAGGTAGGCTTTAATATACATTACTGCTGGAAAAAATAAATCATAGCTTGTTTTTATTTTTTTAAAGCGAGAGGTGCGGGTTCTAGTCCCGCCTGGGGCGAAAGTTTTGTTCACAACCCAGCATACTTGTGAAATAATCTTAGCAATTTTCCTACTTCTATGACCTGTGGATAGCAGCAGGTTGCAACTCCCGCAACCATGTTGGTGTAACCTACCCTAACCTGCGCGCGCAGCGCTCAGCCTCGCCGCTCACGCGGCGAACGCTGCGACGCTCATCCATTTTTGGATTGCTGCCCAGCGGGGGTAGCCTCATTGTGAGCATAACCTATAGGATTGTCATTGCGGAAATCGCGTCGATGCGACGCGCATTGTACGTGACTACGGCAGGAACGTCGTAATTCGTCATCGTAATACCAAACTAAATTTTGATCGCAAAAAGTGCTACCCATTCAACGGAAAATTTCTATTGGAGACACGAAAACCCACTCCTACTACTTCAGCAGGGCAAAACAATCCATATACAGGATCTAAAACGCAATCAAATTCTTCTGCGTCGCTTATGTTAAAAGCTTAGTACTTTCAAGCCAAGGGTAATCAAAAATTCCGCTCGGTTTTCATGAATGCTGAGCAACGTTTTGTATAGTTTGAAGAGTGAGTTAGGTAGAAGCAGAGGGAGTTATTCACCTATCTTCCCATGTGAGAGGATGTGTGAAAGATGTAGGGAATAGAGAGTTTTGATTATAAATGTATGCGGTTAACGAAAAAAAGTTGCGGGGAAACGTATTCGCCCGACTGATTCATTCTTAGAGCTCTCGAAACCATCGATTCAAAACTGACATCCATATATGTTCTTTTTTTCAAACTTTCCCCATCGATTGGATTCAGTGTGATTTCAGTAGATGGGTGCTTTTAAAGGCAAAGGTCGGGCTCAGGCACGCTAGAGAAGTAATTCCCGTGCCTGGAGGTTGTATGTGGGT